TGGCAGACGCAGGCAAGGCAGGGAGACAGAGACAGCCTGCTGGGGGAGGCTGGTGGGGGACCTGACCTCTCCCCACCCCACCCTAGACCCTCCCTCCCTCCCCGCTCAGGACCAGAGGTCTGGGGCCTCCAACTGCACGCAACCATCCCACCGCACAGCCTTCCCAGGGGGGATGGGCTGAACCCCACCCCATTCCCATCCTGCAGTCCGAAATCCCAGCAGCTCAGAATGTTTGGAGGCAGGGCCTTTAAAGAGGTCATTAAGGTGAAATGAGGCCACTAGGGTGGGCCCTACAGCAACATGCCTGGCGTCCTTGTAAGACAACACTAGAACACAGGCACACGCAGAGGCAAGGCCACACGCGCACATGGGGAGAAGACGGCATCCAAGAGCCAAGGAGGGGGGCCTCAGGAGAAACGACCCTGCTATTTGCTCCCAGACTTCAGCCTCCAGAACTGTCGTGCTGCACAAGCCTCCCAGACTGTGGCGTCTGGCTACGGCTGCTCGCGGACACCAGCACACCCGGCCACCGCGTTCAGCAGAGGGTACTGCTCCCTGGGACAGCAGGTGCTCCCTGGCCACTGTCCCCTGCCCTAGGACCTTGTCTGGTCAGAGGTGCTTCACACTGAGCTTCCTCGTTATCCTTCACCTGTGTCACCTCCCCCTCCTGCCGGCCTAAGCGCAGATGGGCCACCGGTCCCCCAAGCATCTGTCGCCACCACAGCCGCAGTTCACTACGCAGGGGCAGAACTCTGTCCCTCTTTCCCGTGGTTCTACTTCCCCCATCCCACAGGGAGACAGGCCGCACTGTGTGGTAGTGAGCTCCCTGTCCTCACTGGGTGTGAGGAGTTGCACGATAAGGAGCTGCGTATGGGTTGGAGGGAGGATGCTGACGAACTGAGCTCCAAGGGAGGTGGAAAGAGACTTGGATTCAAATACCAAATCCCCTGCTGACGTCATGGCCCCAGGTGAGAGGCCCTAGCCTCTACACACTTCTGTGTCTTCACCCGGGAGATGGGGTCGGTACAGCCTCAACTGGGCTACTGCCGAGGCGGTTCCGGGCATGGGGTCTCCTCCCCTTGGCAAGTCCCTTCCCTCTGCGGCCTCAGTGCTCTCCCTGTGGCAGGAGAGCGTGGACAGGCTTTGACAGGGCTGGGCGCCTCTGCCTGGGGGGGCTGCCTGGGGGGGCTGCCTACAGAGAGCCAGAAGTCCCCAAATGGACTTTTCTGCCTTCATCTTGCTACCAAATTTGACCAGGGACATCCTTAGGGAGTAGAAGAGGACTCAGTGTCAAAATATGGTACATCCTAGACTTGAACTTGGAGCTGGGGGGGCAGGAGGCTGCAGGCAGCAAGGGGTTAAACATAAAGCAGTTCCTGAAAGGATGGTTAAATCAGGGTCTCAGGAGCTCTGAGCCCAGTGCTGGCTGCCCCTCACTGCCAGGGGACACAAGTCGCTCAAGAGGATACAGGCCAGAGATGGTATCTGCTACCGACTGCCTGGCTTGGTGCACCCGCACTCCCCCCGAGTCACCTGGTGGGCTCCAGAGGGACTGGCCTGGCCTCTGCTGTCCTCCCCACCCCCCACCCAGGGGGCCTGAAACAGAAGAGGTAGAGTGGACCTCGTCCAGAAACAGCCCCGCCTCCCTGCGGACACCCTAGCCCTCCACCGATGTGGAGAGGCTGCCCCACCGGGGCATTCCTGCGCGAGCGGCCCACACCCTCCTCTGTGGGGTGGGGGGTGGAGGCTCAGCTGTCCCCTGCACTGAAGTCCTGCCAAACACCTGCCGCAGGTGAGCCCCACAGTCTCTGGGGTGCTGTGCTCCGTGCAGCGCCGCTCCCATCCAACCCTCCCTCTTCCTCAGGGTCAGGACAGGGGTGACCTTCTCCGTCCAGGGGTGAGAGGTGGGAGTCAGAAGGAGAAGACCCTCTCCCAAGCTCAGTGGACACCCAGGTACCGCCACAGAGCCAGATGCACAGAGCAGGCCCTGGGGACCAGCAAGGCAGCTTTACACCCTGGTCTGCCCTTGACCGGCTTGGCAACCTTGGGCAGGATACGTAACTCCTGCAACCTGCAGCTAACCCGTCTGTGCATAGTGACAGGGCCCAGCCCACAGGTGGCTCTGAGCATCAGATGAAAGGGCCACTCCCCTTTGTGCTGGTGCTGTGGCCGGTGCATGGCAGATCTAGGCCTTCTCCCTTAGCTGTGTCTGCAGACCCCTGAGACGCTGGCCACAGTCACCACCGACATGTCTGAGACTCCTGAGGACACACCATAGGCAGCCCCTCCTCAGGTTTTGCTGCCTCCCCCCCACCCCGGGCGCTCCAAATGATTGATTCACCGAATCCCCATTTTATAGCAGGGAAGACTGAGGCCCCAAAGGATGGCATCTTGTCAATGGATTTGAAGCCAGTAGTTTGGCTCGAGAAGCTGCATTCCTCACCACTATACTAACCTGTCTCTCATGAGGCTTTGTAACCTAGTGCAATGGGTAACAGTACTGCTCCTGGTTTGTAGATGAGGAAACTAAGACAGCAGGAAGGTAGAATAATTTGACCAAGGCCATACAGCTACAAAGGGAAGATCTGGGCTTTGAATCCAGGCAGCCCGGCTCTAAAACACACACGCTCCCCCATCGCATCCTGGTGGTCACTGCCTTGCCTGGCCCAGGACCTCTGCAGAGAGAAGGCAAAGCCGCCGTGGGCGCCACAGCACCCCGAGACCATCACCCCTGGCGCCAGGGCCTCTCCTGGGAACAGCCGAGCCCCTCCCTCCCAGGCCCAGTTTGAGCCATCTTCTGAGCACCCTGAACTCCTGGGGGCTAGGCGCCCTTACCCCAGCTAACACATAGGGAAACTGAGTCCCAGGGCCTTGCCCACAACTACAGAGACAGATGTAGGCCTCCCACTTCCCTCTCTTGACCATTAGTAAAAAGAAAATGCTTTTACCTTTGGCCCCAGAATCTAGAGCCTTCCAGAAGGGCTACCAGCCCCAGTCAGGCCAGGCCAGGGAACGGGGCAGAGGGCCAGACCTCAGCCCCTAGACAAGGGCTCCATGTCCTTGCTGGCCAAGCTCACCTTTAACCAGCCAAAGGGCCCTCTGGGGAGAGGAGGAGGGCAGGGGGCAGGAGAAACATGGGAGCCCCTCCTCGACAGCCCCTGTCCCCTTGCACTCCCACCTGCCGTCCCAGGCCCCCGCTGCTCTGACCAGCTGCTCCCCTCCCTTCCCCCACAGCCGACCGGGTCCCAGGCCCGGTCTTCCCACACCTCCTGCTTCTTGCCCTTAATTACTTTACCTTTTATTTGCCTGGCACTTTATGGCACTTTATAGTTTGCTAAATGTTTTTACATTTATCCTCGCATTGAATCTGCACCAGGGAGAGACGGGGAGACAGTAAAAATTCCTTCAAACTGCCAAGTGTTCTTGTTAAAAATGCAAACATCCCCAGCACAACGGGGCGATTAGGCTGGCAGCTGTGGAGCCTCAGGAGGGACTCGGCCCACCCTCTGCTCTCTCCCCAGCCCCTCGCTGTGTGGGGACGGGTGTGGGAGGAGAGGAGTGCTCTGGGGGAGCCTCGGCAGGTGGGGAGGGCCCGGTGGGGGGCAGTCTGAGAGTGGTGGGCCCCTGGGAGGGGAGAAGCACCCCCGGAAGGGGCGGGAGCTCGGGGGGTACGAGGACAAACCATGAACCTCGCGATGCTGCACACGGAGGACGTGCTCGCTCATGGGGAGCCCTCAATTCCAGCCCCGCCGCCGCCCTCCTCCCAGCTCTCTCTGAAATCTCTGGCTCATTCTGGAGTCCGCATGGTCAGAGGGAGAATGTTTTATCTGAGCAAAGGCCTAAAGACTTCCAGAGTGGAGTCATCAAAGCCCAGTCCCGGAGAAGGGAGTGGGAGACAGGTGGTCCAGGGGGAAAGGGGTGAGTGAGGGCCATGGGCTGGCTGTCCCTAACCCAGCTCTGCCAGTGGCCCGGGGCCCCAGGACCACACAGCCCACCCTGGACTGGCTTGGGCTGGGAGGGGACCCCCAGAGGCTGGGTGATGGCACCCTTGAAAGTGTACATTGTGGGTCGTGGGGGTGAATCGGGAGCTCCTGTGTGGGGAGTGGTCTCCATTACCCCAGCTGAAAATATGGGGAACGGGCCAGACCGTCCGGAGTTCCTCCCAGCGCCAACAGTCTGTGGTCCCGAGACCAATCAGAAAAACGAGCCCACGGCCAGGCCCAAGAAAGGGCGTCTCAGGGGTTCGCAGGCGAGGCGTGCGCACTTCCGGAGCGGCCCCACCCCACGCCGCCCCGCACACGTTCAGAGGGACCACAGCAATGGCTGGAAGTCACACGCCACGCTCACGCCGCGACCTGAGCTGCGGCTGCCCGTTCGACATAATGTTGGGTTTCGTAGCTAAATTAAACACGTATTAGTTTCAACACTGCAGCTTTCTTTTCAAATTTCAGAGCCCATCGGTTTGCTTCCAGCTCAAAACATTTTCGTTGGCTGTTGATGAAAGCTCGTAGGCCCCAGATCTTGCGTCTATGTTCCCAGCACTCTGACCCCGGAGAACTCAGGCAGCGACCCTGAAGAACCCAGCAGCGGGTTTACTAGAAATGCTGTGTCTGCAGCACAGAGGGGGTATCTCAAGCTCCACTCGAGGCCACCTCCACCAAGGAGCCCTCCGAGATCTCTCCAGCTCCACAGAATCCACCCCCACCAGCCTCAGACCACGCCCATCCGGGATGCGTATTTGGCAGCAACAGCACACTCGCAAGACATCCCCTGGGCCATTGTGCTGCGTCCTCTGGGTCTGTCCTTATCACTATTGAACACTTTCACATATTTGCTTCATCTGCCCCCGCTGGACTGAGAGCTCTCAGAGGTGCCTCGGACCCCTCCTCGGCCTCCCCTCTGAACCCAAGTCTCTGGACAGCAGCCCAAGAGAACCGAGGCCACATGAGCGGGGCCTGTGCGGGGTGCAGAGGGGCTGGAAGCCACTGGGTCCCACCTACCCTCCATGCCGTCCTCGCGATGCCCACCGAAGTTGTCGTAGGAGTCCCAGCGGATCAGGGGGTCAGAGGTGTTGTAGTCCACGGACACGCTGGGCCCGTTCTCCAAGTGCTCCATGCCTGAGTGGGGCGGGGGAGGGGGCAGGCGGGGGGACAGTGAGGGGAGGGAAAAGAGATCAGCAGCTGCAAAAACAGAGGAAGCCAGCAAGCTCCCCCAGGACCTCCCCGAGGGACGTCTCATGTTCTTGAGCACGGCGGGGCGGGCCCAGTGGCTTCAGCTGGATGGAGAACCCAGGAGTCTGGTTTCCTGCATTCTTGAAAAGGCTCACACCAGGTCGTAGGGGCAAATCAGGACAGGGCACCATACCCAGGACAGGGAATGAAGACCCCCGAGCGGAAAGCGGGGAGGACCCCCGGGCTGGGTGTCTGCCTGTTTCTCTCCTGTGTCCCTGGGGCCCCTGGGGCAGTGGCAAGAAGCCAGAGGGTCTGCCCTGCAGTCAGGGGAGGGGAGGGTGGGACAAGCATGTAACGGGCTGCATGGGGTCAGGGGCAGTGAGGAAACCACAGCCTTGACATTGAGAAGACACAGCCTCTAAAAGGTCATCCCAGGCATGCCCCTGCCCCTCTCTGAACATGCCCTCCACTCCAGACAGAAAGCCCAGGGCAGAGGCAGAGTCTCCTACCCACCCATGGAAAGCCCAGCTCAAGGACAGCTCAAGGACAGCACAGCTGCAAGTCAGGCCTTTCAGGGCGAGTCACCTTCCTGGCCTGGCAGTCCTTTCTTGGTCTATACAGAGTCCCTCTGCCTTTAACCCAACTTCATCTCCTCCCATTTTGTTCTCAAATAAGATGGAGAACAACTGGGCTCCACATATAACCAGTCTAGAGGCTTAAAGGCTATTATTAAATTGGCCTTCAGGTTGAATCACCTCAGTGCTCAGAAATACTCCTCATCCATCCAGCACCTTTGAGTGTCCCCCCTGGCCACTGCCCCCATCTGCCAGGGCCCTCAGTCTCTGAATATAACAGGCTGATGACCTAATAAGACCAGAACAGTTTATCCAACCCAGCGCCTATCTGTCTGCTTTTTTATTTTTATAATACAGAGATTAAGTCACTGGTTCATGTTTAGCTGGGGGTCTACTCTGAAATCCAGATCCTTTACTGATAACCTGCCTCTCAATCACAGGTAAGTTGATAATTGTAGGGCAGACCAGTGGGAAGATAATGGGGATAGGGTGGGCACAGGTCAGGATGGAAGGAAGGGGTGAGAAATGGAGTCCAGCTTGGCTCATACCATGAATTTTCTCCGGCCCATAAGAAAATACAAATTCCACTTTGCCATATTCTGGAAATCGATCATCTGAAAAAAGAGAAGGAAAAATAAAAATGGGCAATGAATTCCCAAAAAGGACTCCATAAAAAGTTTTCTTCTAGAAAAAAATTACATAATATGTGTGTCCATAGTTAATAATATAATAACCAATGCATATATAATTATACACATACACATGAAATTATATATGTACAATGAATAAATCTTCCCACCCCACTCCCAGCCTTCCTGCCTGAGGTAAGCACGTCTAATCATCTCCATCTTTATTCTGCTAGCAATTTACCTCTAAGACCATTCCAGCCTCACCTCTCTCCCAATTCTCTCCCGCTGTCACTAAGAATACCCCGAGACATGCTAGAGCATGTGGCTCAGAGAAGATGGTTCCCATGTCCACCGCACCCCCTCGAAGCTCCTCTCCCAGCACAGGAGCACCCACGCCCGGCCCCACCCAAGGAGCCCACCTTTGAAGGCATCATCAAGGTCTTCCTTGCCAAAGACAACCCCCAAGTCATGGATGGCGCAGGTGTGGAACTGCACACGGAAGATGACGTCGCGGGCCGGGCTCCGGAACTTCTTGTGGTAGCACTTCAGCTGGGAGGGGCGGGGGCAAAGCCAGTCAGGGGCCTGAGGATGGGAAATCAGCTCCCAGGGAGCCTCTTTTTCAGACCCACTGACTGAACCCCCAAGGCTCGCTCCAAACCCAGGGAGGGAGAGATCACCAACACCAAACAGCATCTCAGAGCTCTGTGGGGAAGCTTCTAGAATAGCAGAGAGTGGGAGGCCAGTCTTGACCTTTGGGGACAAAACTACGCTTCCAAGAAGTTTCTGCATACAAGTCAGAATGGAGAAAGTAAGAGTGGATTTAAACTGCAGCAGGAAGGACTGAAGTTAGAATTGAAGGAGTCCTTGTCACCGACAGGAAGCCAGAAGGTAAGAACTCACAGTGAGTTCCATTTTCTGGGGATGGTCCAGGACAAAAGATAAGCCCAGGGGAGAGGACAAGGACTTCCTGGGCTGGACAGTCTTGCAGGAGCCCTGAAAGCCCAGGGTTCCAAGTCCAGCACCCCACCAGGAAGGAGCAGCTGTCTCATCCTGAGAGGCAGGAGGGAGCAGGGAGAGAAAAGAAGGAAGAAAAACAAGAGAGGGTCAGGCACTCACCAAGATGTCCCCCTTCAAGAGCAGCCCTGGCTCGATGGTGATGCAGACGCTGGTCTGGCTGTCCCCTGGGATGTTGCTAAGGGAGAGAGACGGGCAGAGAAAGAGAGGGCGCTGGGGAAGGATGTTTTCTCCCCACTCCTCTCTGCCACAGGGTTACTAGGAGCCCTCACTGACTTGGTGCCTTAAGCCTTTGTGAGAAGAAGAGGTTCTAGGCAGCCTCCCCACGCCCTGCTCTGGTCCTGAGCCTTGGGACTTGGGCATCCCTGGCCTCTGGTGCCCATGGAATACTCACTAGATGCCAGACGTGTAAACAGGTTGCATGGCCTGGTAGATGCGGAGAAACGGCCGGCACCCTATAAGGGAGGGGGGTGTTAGCTAGGACAGCGGAAACCCTGGCGGTGGGGAAAGGCAGAGGAGAGAGTGAAGGAAGAAAGAGAGAAAGGAAGGAATGAGGAAGAGAGGTAAGAGGGAGAAAAGAGGAAAGAGAAATAGAGGAAGCAGAAAGGGGAAGAAATACTAAGCTTTCACTTGTAAGGCGGTTTAAATTTATAAGGATAGCGCCACGTCCACCATCACTGTCCAGCAGGCATTACAAGTACCAAATCCATTTTGCAAATGAATAGACTGGGGCTCAGAAAAGTTCGGGAAGTGATACAGTTGAGACTTCAACCCAAGCCTTAGGACTACAGCTCTGGTGCTGTTTGTTTGTTTGTTTGTTTGTTTGTTTGTTTGTTTGTTTAACCACCCAAGGCTGCTTCTTAAGGGAAGGAGATAGAAGATGGGAGAGGGAGGCCAGAGGCTTGGGGCAGGTACCTCCTTTAGACTCAAAGTTGGGGATTCCATGCATGATCACGTGGTGCAGAAACAAGGGCTTGTTGTTCATTTTGATGGAGCCGGAGAGCAGGCCGCTGAAGTAATGCACGTACCTGCAGCAGGGGGAGGAGCAGCTTCAGGAGGCAGGCCTGTGCTGGTGCAGCCATCCCTGCCCTCTCTTCTCCAGGGACATTGCCCTAGGCTGCCCACCTACTCCCCCCACAACAACATGCCCCCCTGCCCACCCAGGCCTCCAGGCAGTAGTGGGCTCCATCCCAGGACAGGCTTCCCTCACTGCTTGCTCAGAGCCCCAGGAAGGAGGAGCAAGCAGGTACCACCAGATCGCCTGGGTCAAGCAGAACATCCATCCACTCGGCGTTCTCCAGCGCCCCCTGGTGTTCAACATGAGCATGTCTTTCCTGCTTCACTGCCAGCCCAGGAATTCTGAAATTCCTCCGGGACAGGCATCATTTAGCTGCCCACTACTGCACGTGGCAACCATCACACAGCTCGGACACCCTCACACCCCCACACCGAGCCCACCAAGCTTGCACTTACATTCACAGCCCCAGCTGTGCCCACAGCCCCACCAGGCCCACGACTGTCCAGCAAATAGTGAGCAAGACCTTAGTAACGACAGTTCTTTACTTTCTTTATACCAAGCTGAAGTGCACAAAGTTCCTCGGTATCAATTGTTTCATTGGTATTTGAGATAACAGGCTTCCCACCGGCATGCCTATCTCTAGGGTCAGCATCCCCCACTTCTTTAACAGAGTCTGTTGGAAGACTGGAAGGACTGGCCCACCTCCTCTCCTTCTAGACTGAGAGGGACAGTAAGGTCCAGAAAGGGTCACTGGAGTCCCAAAGACGCAGCAAACGCACACAGCCGGGAGTAGGGGGCAGAGAAGGAAAGAAGTCTGGACTCCCACACATCTGCCTACACCAGACCTCAGTCCTTCCGCGGTTGATTGGTTGGCATTTCCTCCTTTTCTGATTGGCCAGAGCACACCGAGCTAGACCAATCAGAATGCATCCGGAGGCTCCGCAGGAGCGGGTGGGACCGGAACCGCAGGGCCGTGACAACGCTACCCTCCTGTCTCCTGGCCCCTTGGCCCACCTCCAGGCCTGTGGGCCTCCATCCCTGAGCCTGGGTGGGGCCGCCTCGCCTCGGACTACCCGAGCAAGATAATCTGATGGGCAGCACCAGGTCCTATTCAGGCCCCTGCCCAGCCCCCAGCCCCATTACTCAAACCGGAAACCCGGAATGGCGGGTTCCTATCAGATCCCCTGATCGCGCCAACAGGATGTGTCTGTGTGCTAGGGACAATGAGTCCAGGGGCGGGTGACAATGAATGGGGGAGTTGCAGGCAAAGCCCCTCCCATCTCACTCCCTGCCCTCCTCTCCTCCAACTACTCCACTCCCTGCAAGTGACTCTGACAAGAAGGCGGGAAAGTGGCAACGAATGCCTAGTAAACCCAACTGCTGCACTTTCACATTTGGGCACAGACAGGGACCCACCCGCAAGCAGATGCAGCAGCAGACATGAGCTGGCGGCGGGCCCAGATAATGTGCCCACACACAGAGACACCCCCAACTGCATGCAGCGTAAGCACGTGTTGAACACCATGGAAATCCCGAGAGTGAATCCCCTAGAGACCCCGGAGTCTGTAGGCCTTCACTGCTCAGCTTCAGAGATGTGACTGCTCTGCCCACTCTCTCCAAGCCGCACTGTGCCATCGTAACAGCGTGCTTCTCTAGAGCTAACCCTATCCCTTAGGGTCTAGGGCCACGCCACACCATGGCCAAGACCAGAGCCTTACGTGGTGAGTCAGCGACTAAGGCGTCGGTACTTAACCCACAGTTCTTTCCTCCCTGGGAAGACTCTAAGTGATCCTCAGCTGCTGTGTCTGGGGGCCTGGCCAGAATTTTCTGCACATAAAGACATCCAGTTTCTGATCACTGATCCAGAGGCTGGCTATCAGCTGTTGTGTGCCAATCGTGAAGTGCTGGGTTGCCTGAGGACTCCCTCATGTCTGCTTGGGCTTCCCACTGCAATGGCAGAAACAGCCTCGCTGTGCCAGCACACTTATAGGCAGCCAAGCAAGGTGGGGCTGATGGGGTGTGTTTTGTCAGCGTGGTGAGGCTAGACAGCTCTAGAATCTGCAGCTCTGGGGTCCTGTTGGCCCAATCAGTGTCCCAGGGGCCAGAAAAGCAAATGGGATGCTGTGGCTTTCAGGTCTTTGTACCTGGTGCTGTTCACTCTGCCTGGATCCTCACCCCAGACTTGCCCTTGCTGCCTTCTTCTCCCCACTCAGATGCCACCTCACGTGCCACCGTCCCAGAAGGCCTGTCAATCAGAATCGGCCCCTCTTGCCCACCCCATCCCTCTCTAGCCATCCAGACTTGTTTTGTCTTCACAGCACTTGTCACCACCTGAAATGACCTTGATTGCTCGTGTCCTTGGACGTCATCCACTAGGAGCTGAGCTCCACGAGCCCTTGCCTGGCAGACTCAGCAGCTCATGCCCAGTGCACAGAACGGCATTGACACATCACAGGCAGGCAGCGGGCCCACACCTCCGGCCACAAAAGGGGCTGAGCCTGGGTCCCATTCCCCAGGCTTCCAGTTTGGGTTTGGGTTTCCCACCATTTTGGCTGGAGCCTCCTCAAAGACCACATGGCCCTGAAACTGCCCTGTGCCTTCCTGTAGATTAGACACCGCGGAACAGCGTGTTGCCCGCAGAGCGGAATCTGCAAGACAGTGGTGGCATGTCCCAGGGCCACTGCCCTGGCCCTTGTGTTACTCAGCCTTCATGTACACTCCAGGTCTGCAGCAACTCCACACAGCCCCTGGCCATGTCCCCTCCCTCCCCAGGCTCAGGTTTCTCATCTGTAAAAGGGGGTGCCCTCGATCGCCACACGGCAGCTCAACATTATTCCAGTTTGGGCCCAGTTTGCCTCTGAGAGGTGCTTCCAGGCCATCCCCATTAAAATGGCCCAGGCCCCCCACCGGCTGTCCTCTCTGCAGTACCCTATTCTTCTTCCCCAGCACTAGTCGCTATCAGACATTGTCTTGTTTGTGTGGTTACTTGTTTAGCCTCCATATCACTCAACAGACCATCAGCTCACTAAGCAGAAGAACTTTGTCCTGTTCACCTAGACATCTCAGTGCTCAGCTATAGTAGCGTACCCACATTTTGCTGAATGAATGAATGAATCCATCCTTGCCCCGCTTCCTGCCTGGGCTATTGTGAGACTCCAGTGAGACCACCTGGTAGAAAGCTCTTAATAAAATTTTTAAAACTCTCCCAACCAGAGGTAGCCCTTATCGTCTCTGTGTCCTCCCTAGGGCAGGTGGAAGTAATGTCAGCGTCTGTAGACTTATCCAAGAACTAAAGCAATCCTGCCACCCAGGCCAAGAATAGTACATACACCTTCTTACCCTAGACTCATGCTTCCCCACGATGGCCCCACTGCTTTCCAGCACGTGCCAACCTGCCCTCCTGTGTCCCTGAGCTCACACCACCCCAGGCTGGCATCTGAATATACATACTTGGTACACTCCCACCCAGGCATGGCTGTCCTATCTTCTGTGGGTACACAAGTCTAGTCCCTGTGAGCAGCAAGCACACACGTATGCACTGGGCCACGAGCCCCAGAGACCCACCTTCTTTGGGATGGCTGGCCAATGGGCACAATCTTATCCTCATAGAATCGCTTCATTGCAAACCGGTCCAGAGCCTGATCCGCACTGTGGGAAGACAGGTGGTCAGAGGAGCCAACTCCCATGTCCAAGGGCCCCTTGTCCTCCTGCGCCTGCTCCCCCAGACCTGCAGAGCCCTCCAGCCTGCCCTTGTCCTGGTGGGAGGACAAGCCTCTTCCCCTAGTCATCCTGTGCTGAGAAGCTTCAGGAAAAGTGTGCTCCAGCACCTCTCTATCCTGGTGGTGCAGCACTTACATGGGGAGGCTTTAGAGCCAGACAGCCTGGGGGCCACCCCAGGGCTGCCACTTAATAGCCCTGTGCCTCGGGCA